TCATCCAGAGTGAGGTATCCCAGAGGCAGAAAGACACTTATAAGTGAGTATATACTATATTAGACTTATAATATAGGATAAACATACTAAAATCTGTACACCTAAATGCCAGAGGCCAGCGGCAGAGTTGAACAGTGCCTGAGTGGGGCGTGAGGATGAATCACTATATACGGGATCAGCTTGAGAGGGCAGTCAGTAATGACTGAAGCAGCTTGGGTTTATTCCAGGATTATTTATAGGCAGAGCAAAAACAAGTCACATCAATACAAAAAGAAAAGGTGTGGAAACGCCTAACTTTTTTTCAAAAGCTACTTCCCTAAAGGAATATGGCCCCAGGTCACACAGATAAGCTTTAAGGAATCTCAATGGCCCAAGGTCACAGAGATAAGCTGTAAGGAATTTGGCGAAAATTCCTCTTTTCTCTGTCAAGGTGAAGGCCACGGTGAAAACGTAACAAAGCAGCTTAAGGAGTAGCTCTCCACACCTAAAGAACTAAGGAAAAAGGAAGACCTTGGGTAAGATGTTCAATCCTCATTCAGAAAGGCAAATGGGATAGACATCGGAAGAGGGAGAAAACAGAGAACATGACAGGAGCCTACCACAGAGGGCCTCTGAAAGACTACCCAGCAGGGTATCAAGGCAGATGCTGAGACTCATAGCCAAACTTTGGGCAGAATTTTCATTCGAAGGGGGAGATAGAAAGACCTGAAGGGGACAGGAGCTCCACAAAGAGAGCAACAGAACCAAAAAATCTGGGCCCAGGGGTCTTTTCTGAGACTGATACTCCAACCAAGGACCATTCATGGAGATAACCTAGAACCCCTGCACAGATGTAGCCCATGGCAGCTCAGTGTCCAAGTTGGGGTACCCTAGTAAGGGGAAGAGGGGCTATCTCTGACATGAACTCAGTGGCTGACTCTTTGTTCACCTCCCTCTGAGGGGGGTTGGGAAGCCTTACCAACCCACAGAGGAAGACAATGCAGCCAGTCCTGATGAGATCTGATGAGGCTAGGGTCAGATGGAAGGGGAGGAGGACCTCCCCCATCAGTGGACTGGGGGAGGGGCATGGGAGGAGAAGAGAGAGGATTGAGAGGGGATGAAGGTGGGGGCTACAGCTGGGATACAAAATGAATAAATTAAAAAATAAATTAAAAAAATAAGGAAAAAGTCTTATATTTGCTAGTAAAAATGTAAGCTAGCTCAACTTTAGCTTTTGTGGAGAACAACTGAGAAATACCTACTAAATTTTTAATTATGTGTATTCTTCAACTGGGCAATTCCATTCAGGGACCAAATGAAATTAAGCATATATAAACATTAATAGTGCAGCAATTTAATTATAGCACTGTTAACAGTGACCAAAAACTACAAGCAATATAAATGTCACAGATAGAGAATGGTTAAATAAATTATAGTACACCCACACAACATATTGTTGTGCATACCTTATTATATAGGATGTTCTCCACATAGAATGTAACAAGATAAACAAGAACCAGAAAAGTGTATAACATAATCCTACCTTTTCAAAGCATACCCCTACATATATGTGAGAAAAACATGGCTCAATATCTTATTTATCCATACTTCATAGGAGAACATAGTATGCAGAATATATAAAAAGCTCTTGTAATTCAATAACAAAAAAATAATTTAAAGGGCAAATAGTTTGAATGGACATTTCTACAGTAAAGATGTAAGATAACCAATGAAAACATAAAAATATGCTCAACATCATCAGTCTCTAGGGAGATTGAAAACCAAAACTATGAGATAACACATCACACTTAGCTAGGTAGGCTACCCCTTAGAAAGAAAAATATGCAATGATGAGGATGTAGAAAAATTGGAAGCATTGTATGTTGCTTGTTTAAAGGAAAATGATATGGTTTCTATGGAAAACAGCTTGGCAGTTCCTCTGTCAAAACAGAATTCCCAAGTGATACAACAATCCCTCTCCTAGGAAATGCACATTCAAACACTTACACACAAATGTTTATAACCCACAACAGCTAAAAAGTGAAAACAAAGCAAATGCCCATCAGCTAATGAATATATAAACCAAATGTGGCTCAGGGCTCAACTATAAAACAGAAAGAGTACCAATTTACGTTACAGAGTAAATGAATCATAAAATCCTCATGCTAAGTGAAAGAAGACAAAGGTGAAAGATCACATGCATGAAACTTTCATGCAGATAGATTCACAGACACAAAGGTACATTAGTATTTCCTGGCACTGGGGGTAAGGGATGAGTAGGGACCGATAGCTCCTTAAGTGTGGGCTTGCTCTGTGGGATTGAGAACGTCTCTTATTACTAGGAACGCGTGCTGGTCCCACAGCATTAGTAATGTACTAAGCCACTGAGCTGTCAGTTTCAACATTGCTTATTTTGCGTTTATGTGATTATTGCCTCAACCTAACAAAATATATTCTGACCAAACTGTCCCAAACATGCCAACTGTCATCTCGTCCAAGAAGCTAAGTCAGGTTGGGCGTAGTCACTACTTGGATAAAAATACACACACACACACACACACACACACACACACACACACACACATCACTTCTGCATCACTTGCCTATTGTTGCAAGTTCACACACAAATTTAGCATCTGAAAACAATTATAACATCTTAGCTCACAGCTAAGCATAACCAGATGGGCTTAGGTAGGATCTATATTTAGGATTTCACAGGCCAAACTCAGAATGTTGACCAGAAGTTTCTCTGGGAAGTATGCATTCAGGTTCTTCAAGGTGCTGTGTGTTGGTGGTGGCGGTGGTCTTTTGAGACAGGCTCTCACTATGTACACTATCTGTCCAAAGACCTGCCCCGTGGTACTCATGTACTTGTGAACTTGAAATCCTGCCACTTTAGCAGGATTACCAAATGCTAGGATTACAGATGAGTACTATTCTTGAGATTTTTTTTTTTTTTTTTAGAAGAATTAGGTTCCATTTGATTGTAGCACCGAGGTCCCAGCTTCCTTGCTGTCAGCCAGACTCCATTGTCAGAGACTACCCTCATGTCTTGGTTCATACGAAGCAAAAGGTCAAACCCTGCTCAGCCTTCTAATGAATCTGACCTCCCTTTCTGCTACCATTGAAAGAAAACTCCGCTTGCAAAGGCTAGCTAGCTAATTTCATTTTTGCCATAAAATATTACACAATCACAGACATAGTATCTCTTCAAACCCACAGCTTTCATGCTACACTCAAAAGGATAGAGGTTATATAAGGATAAGGGTCACTTTGGGTCATTTTGCTAGAATTCTGCATACTATGACCTCTTCCAGAAAAAAAGAAAAAAAAGCCATTTTATACCCAATTCAAGAAAAACTGTTTATATCCAGGCTCATTGTAAAGAAAAATGGAAGTACACCTATATTCCATCTATAGCAAGGAAAGCAATGTATAGATTCACAGGTTTCCAAGGCTCAAGGAAAGAATAGAGTTGACTTTAGTAGATAGACATCTCAATGTGGGACCCCTGCTGGCTTGTTGGCTTATTTTTCTTTCCTTTTTTTCTACTGAAACACTGCATGTACATGCGAAGCAGCCAAAAAAAAACTACCTCAGCATTCTCTCTGTAGTTGTGATGAGAAGCATATTGTGGTGGGGATTTAGGTGACTCTAATACTTAATAGATCGTATTTTCCCAAACGTTTCAGAGCTCTTGTTATTGAGGGCTTCTGGTTTGGGTGAGTTATATCTATTGCTACTATCAGACTGACTGAACCTAGAAAAATTTAAACATAATACACAAGCACACGTTCTCTTAGCCTACAAACAGATATCATCACAGTTACATAACAGCCTCTGGAGGGTGAAGGGCACGACGTCTTCCCAGACCATCCCTTAAAAGGCTCCGTGAAAGATGTCAACACCACACCCTGCACTTTCGCAGCTTGATCCACTCACACATTTTGGTGTATTCACTTGATCTGCTGTGTTATTAGGACACCGTCAATCTCTGAGTTTAGCAAAAAATCACACCGAGGGCGGTGAAAGAAAGCACTAGGGGTTCATGTTTTGCCCTAGATGTCTCGTTTGATGTTTTAGTGAAGAAATATTCATGATTGCTTTAGTGATTCCGGATGCTTCTCGTTCAAGCAGGAACTCCGCATTTGCGCTTCTGCACAGTGGAGTTCTCCGTCCTACCCGCCAGCCTTCGGACGTCTAGACGGCCCTCCTGACTGACTGGGTGTGAGCCGAGCCTGTCCGGTTGGGTGGATATTTTCTTCAGATAGTGAGGTGGGAGATAAGTCAGGCAGCTTCCCAGTGTGGGGCGGGGTAGCTGCTTTTACTTTTGCAACCTCGAGGTATTTCGTGAGCTGCACACTTTCTGGAACCTTGAGCCTGTCTTAGAGCCTTGGCCTTTAGGAAGCTCTCCTTTACATAAGATACTCCGCAGTTAATTGTTCTTTGTATCCTGCGATCAAAAAGTGAAGAAATAAAGGTGGGGGAAAAAAGCCTCTTGTTGACTAACTCGGTCGTTTTCGTCCCGCAAGCCAAAAAAACAACAGTAAATAAGTAAGTTGTTGGAGGCCAGGGATTGCATCCTCCCACCTCAAGGTTAAAGTTCTGCAAGCCGGGGTCACGGCGTCCTCCGCGAGGAGGGCTGGCGGCTAAGTCTGAGCAGCCTCGCCGGGCGGAAGTGCACATCCGGGGACCCTGCCCTACGGAACGCTCTCCTGACGCGTGATGGGAAAACGCCGGGTGACGGAGCCGACCGGGGCGGGTGGGTCTGCGCGTGCAGATACGTGGGATGCCCGCCGCGGCGTCCAGACACCGTCCCTAACTGCCCGGGGGGCCTCCGGCGTCAGAGGCCGCGCGCACCGCCCTGCCGTCTTCCGCGTCTCGTGATCCACGGACCGACCAATGGGGAGGCCGAGAGCTGGGGGGCGGGGCGGAGGGGGCGTGGCCCGGGGCGTGGCTCGCGCGCGCCCTGCGGCTGGGTAGGCGGTGGGGAAGGCGCGGGCAGCCCGGCACAGCGGGGAGCTCGGCGTTGGACGGGAGGCGGCGGGGGGGAGAGGCGGTGTTGCCGAGCATCCTGACCCTGGCGCGTGGCGGCGCCGCGCGAGGTTACAGGTGCCCGCCGGGACCCGCGCGGCCGGAGCCCGCTCCGGTTGGCCGAGGGGGAGGAGGGGCTCCGAGTTCGCGGCGTCCGGCCCCTCGTGCCCAGGATGGATGTGCCGGCCCGGGTGTCCCGACGAGCGGCGGCCGCGGCGGCCGCGGTGCTTCTGCGGACCGCCCGCGTGCCCCGCGAGTGCTGGTTCCTGCCGACCGCTCTGCTCTGCGCCTACGGCTTCTTCGCAAACCTCCGGCCGTCCGAGCCCTTCCTCACGCCCTACCTGCTGGGGCGGGACAAGAACCTGACCGAGAGGCAGGTAGGCGCGGCGGGCGGGGAGGCCGAGCTCGGCGCGGCTCTGCGGAGGGCCTGCGGGGGAGCCCCGCGGCGGGCTGCGCAGGTAGCCGAAAGGGTTTCTGCTCGCTCGGAAAAGCACTCCTGCGCTGCCTGACTCTTTGAGTTTCCAGCGCGTTCCGTGCGGAACTAAGCAGGGGGGGCCCGCAGGCCGCGTGCGGACGGTGCTGTATGGTGGCATAACCCGGTTCTGCCCGGACCCGTACTGCGGGAGCTGCTGGGGACAGGGGACAGTTAGTGGATACGGACGGCAGTAAGCTCTACTTTGCATATACACACATGCACACTATGTATATTAGTTGGTTGACCCTGCTTTTATGAAAGGATCCCCGCTTTCTTTCCCCTCGGCTTTTTACTGTGGCCAAAATAGATATGCTCCATCACTTAAGGACAGTACAGGACCTTACACCACCTGAATTTGGCTTGTTTAAGTAGGTGAGATTGTGTCCAAAGGTGTCCTGCCCCTCAGAAGTCCATCTTGGGGGTAGGAAAAAAAAGGGTGGTATCATATAATTGGAACTTGGTTTTTCTTGTATTGTGAACTGTTGCTTCACCGACAGGCGAGTTCCTTACAGGCGGAGTTTTTGTGGGCTGTGGTACAAGTGGTCCATGAGCAAGAACTGCTGCTCACCCATTTATTCAGGATAAAAACTTGGAAGCGTAGCAACCGCAGAAGTGTGTGGTGTGCTTTGGAAATGTGCCTAACTGCTCTCATTAGGACACATCCCAGCACTTGGTTTCGGCAGAGGTGTATATATAGACCAAGAAAGAAATGAAACCAATGCTACTCCTCTACCCTTTCCTTGAGTACCCAAAAAGGTGAAAACTGAGGTCTGATGTCTTTCCCTGCTCTCAGCTGAGTGGACACTGGATAATGGACACCCTCTTTCTTTTACCTCTTTCCTTCCTTACCACCCTGCCTCTTTGCCCGAGTTGCTGTAAAATATTACTCCCATTTAAACCTTCCTGGCATGGCCAGTCATCTCTGAGCAACTAACTCAGTAACTCAGCCTAACAGGTCAGAGCAGGAGGTAGCTAACATACTACCAGACTACCAGACTCATTTCAGACCGACAGGATAGAATTACTCAGAGTCCAGTCTGTGACTGCAGTGTGCCTCCATTCAAGGTCACTTGAGAAAGAATTGAGAGTCGGTGTCCATGCCTGGATTCTTTGGCATTTAGCAAGCACAGCAGACTTCTACCCAAAGTGTTAAATCTCGTTTCCTAGTCTTATGGATCATGTCACACTTACTCATTGTCAATATGTATTTTGGTACTGGTTAAAGCCAGCAGCAAAAGGAAAAGATAAAGCTGTCTGATCAGAATGATTTCCCAAGAGGAAATTTACTACATGGTTATAAGAAAGCGTGATTCTGGGGATCCAGAATGACCAGTGAGGTGGGACATGACCTGAGGTGTGAGCAGATTAAATTACACACAAGCTGCCTTGTGTGCACGGTGTACGCACCGAAGCCTGTGAGGAGAAACATGCTCTCCACGTTGATATTTGAAAGCTAATATGCCTTGTCAGGGGACCTGGACTGGGAGCTGCTTATTGTCACATGCTCTGCCTTATCAGAAGGCCTCTCTCTAGGTTAAGGGGACTAGGACTGTAACGGGGTGCTGGGCTCAGTAAATGCTTGTTCTTTGCATGATAGCATGAGGATGGGTAGTGCAGATGGGTCAGGGCAAGGGGATTTGAAGAGGAATCTAGTGACCCGGGATGTGGGGTGTTAGGAGTGCTAGCCAATTCTGTGGGTTATACCAGTGCTGCCGTTTCCCTGTTGAGAGTTGCCAGAGCTCAGCAGCAGAGTTGAACAGTACCTGAGTGAGGAGCGAGGATCAGCTTGGGAGGGCAGTCAGTAATGACTGAAGCAGCCTGGGTTTATTCCAGGGTTAGAGGCAGAGCAAAAACAAGTCACATCAATACAAAAAGAAAAGGTGTGGAAATGCCTAACTTTTTCAAAAGTTACTTCCCTAAGGAATATGGCCCAAGGTCACACAGATAAGCTGTAAGGAATCTCAATGGCCCAAGGTCACAGAGATAAGCTTTAAGGAATTTGGCGAAACTTCCTCTTGTGAAGGCCAAGGTGAAAACCTAACAAAGCAGCTCTCTACAGAGAATCCCACAGTAAGAAGACAAAAGCAAAGCCTAGTCTCTGAAGTGGAGCCACCCTGCTGGCACAGCCTGCCAGCAGCCTGCCAGCAGGGTTGAACAGTACCTGAGTGGGGTGTGAGGATTTAAAATAATTAAAACAAAACGTACTACACAAGGGAAGGCTTGAGAGGGCTGTCAGTATGACTGAAGCAGCGTGGGTTTATTCCAGGGTTCATTTTTTTATAGGTAAAGCAAAGACAGGTCACATCAATTCAAAAAGAAAAGATTCATGGAAACGCCCAACTTCTGTTTCAAAAACTACCTCCCCGTAGAGGATAAAGTCCTGTTCTAAGACTAATCCCCTAAAGCAGTTATGGTCCAAGGTCATACAGACAAGCTTTTAGGGAATTTGGGGAAACTTTCTTTGTCAAGGTAAGGGCCACGGTGAAAACATAACAATGCAGCTTGCCGAGCAGCTCCACAGTTGTCCTTCATGAGTGAGTACTTGTTTACTTTCAGCAATGGACAGTTAAGTGAAACATTGCATGATTTTTAAGCAAAGCAAATCCCATGGTATCATCAGTGGCATTTGTAACAGAAGTTTGTATTTTTCCCTTGAAGGCCTCTAAAGTGCCAGCCTAGGTCATCTTAAAACGGTGCTGAGATTCCCTAAGACCTAAGGGTAGAATTTCCTCTCTCCGTTTCTGTTGTAAAGATTATTTTGTAGACTTTCAGGAAAGTATTTATTGTTTTGAGTCCTGTATTTATATGCATGTCTGAGTGTTTGCCATGTGTGTAGGAGCCTGTGGAGGCCACAAGAGGGCATCGGATGCCTTGTAGCTAGGGTCTCAGGTGGATAGGAACCAACTGATATAGGCGCTGAGAACCAAACCCCAGTCCTCTGGAAGAGCAGCAGGTGCCCCTAACCACTGAGCCATCTCTAGTCCCATTGACCATTTTTAGAATGTTCTTATTAAGTTGCCCAGAGTAGTCCTAAGAGCTTGTGATCCTCCTGCCTCAGCCTGTCAAGTGTCTGTGATTACCAGTGTTTATCACCATAGCCTACAGAACTCTTTATCTCTATAAAGAGTGATTCTATCTTTCCTTGGTAGCATGCGTTTTTTTATGTTGACTGCTTTTCTTTGTAAAACGGTTGCACACATTCTGCTTGACAGTCTGAGCCTTGCAGATTCCTTTTGCTCTTTTAGGACACTCAGGCTTTATTCATATCAGTCATAAACCTAGCATATTCACCAACTCATTTATGGTCCAATACTTAAATGCATCATCTCTGCTTGGAAGTGAGTGTGTGTGTACACATACGTGTGTGTTCTTTTCAAGTCTTCCTGTCTTCCTCATCTTTCCAGGCCCACCATGTTTTCTGTTTCCATTTTTAAATTTGCATAAACACGTGCTTGTTACTTGGTTCAAAACTCCTGAAGCTACAGGTTCATTTTATTCTTTTTTGCCACCTCTACACAGATTAAGTAGTATTACATAAATACACTAAGCAGGGTAACAGAACCATTGACATGATTTTCTTAAATAAGTCAGAATGTAAATTGGTTTAAAACTGAACGATTTATTTTCCTGTGATATAATCCCAGAAGAAAATGCACACAACCAAGTTCTGCCCAAAGTTATGAAAGGCACTTTGAATACAACAGATCAATTCCGTTTGCTCACATGGCAGATTTCACCTGTGATGAGAAATTAGCTAATGGACAGTTAAATAAGGGTATGTCATTTGTATATTTTTGCCTGTGAGAAGTCGCCCTTCAAGAGCTAAAATATCTATTAAAAGAAAGTCTTCTGGTGTTAAGAGTTCCCTACTAGAGATGTTTAAAAAAAGTGTCCTTTGAGCTGGAGATGACTCAGAGGTTAAGAGCATTGAACGATGAAGTTTTCCAAAGAGCCTGAGTTCAATTCCCAGCAACCACATGGTGGCTCACAACCATCTATAATGAGATCTGGTGCCCTCCTCTGGCATGCAGGTGTATATGCAGTCAGAACACTGTATACATAATGAGTGTTCTTTGAGGCCCAGTTCTGGAGACTATGTGGCCTTCATCTCTTGAGGAATTCTTGTCATGGTACCTCCACAGAGATGGTCATGAGAAGTAAATTTAGGCATTAGAAGTAAATTTAGGACATTCTGAATCGATAACACTTTTCTAATAGAAGAAAGAAGGTATTTTAGTGTGGTGGTTCGAACCTTCTCTTCTGCCAATCCTGGCTGTGGTGACTTCAGCCTTCTCGCACACCAGATTTCCTTCTTGTAAAATAGAGATGTAAAATATTTACTTCTTAGGACTGTTTGGATGAGCGGGAAGTGGTTGAGGTAAGGGTCCCAGCAAGGTGTGTGGGCGACATGCTGACACTGGGGGAGAGCATATTCTGGGTCATGTTCCTTGGAGGAGAAAACAGGTCTCTTAATTAGAGGGGCTTAACGAGAATTCACCCAGTATACCATGTTCTACCGGCCTCATCCCTCACCATATTTAGTTGATATAACGGGCCTGGTAGTATTGCTTTTCCCGTCTTCATTTATCTAAATTGTGGGTTTGTGTTAGTGAAGCATTAACCTCATGAGGGCTGTTAACTTACTTTGAAACAAGGTCTCACTATGTTACCGAACTGGCCTTGTACTTGTTAGCAGTCCCCCTGCCTCAGTCTACAGGCTTGCACCACCACCCCGCCCTTTAAACTGATAGAGGATGGGACTTATATGGTGGAACTTTGCTATTAATTAAGGACAACTACTGCTGAAAGTTACAGGTCTGAACAGGAACAGTTTTACTAGAGTGAACAGTTGAGCAAAACTTCGGAACAAAAGAAGACGTGGTGCTGAAGGAAGAAACAGAGAATGTGTTTTAAACTTATTAACGTAATTGTATGTATTCATTTGTTACCGTAATAACTTCAGCACTTGCATACAGGATCCAGTGATGGAGGCAGAGCAACTAGCATTCACCTTACGTCTGGAGCCATTGAGCCGCTCCCTTCCGGTTACTCACAAACTTTATGATCAGCCACTGTTGTTGACTGCAGCCATTCCGGAATGTAGTGGAATGGCTGTCTCAGCTATGCTCTGGTACCTGGTACCCATACATCTGTCTCTACCGCAGCCTGAGGGATTCACTGGTCTGTATTTATATTGGCTTGTATTGACCTCCATGTATGAGAGTTAAGTCTGCATGACTTAACCTAAAGTAGATCTTGTATTGACCTCATGTATGAGAGTTAAATCTGCATGACTTAACCTAAAGTAGATCTTCTGGTTCCCGCCATGTTGCTGCAGGTGACAGGGCTTCATTCTTCTGTGTGGTCCGGCAATGGCTCATTGTGCACCAAGACCTTAATCTCTATGAAGAATGCTTTTTCCGAAAAGGCTTATTGGCCAATAGCTTTGTGGTAGGCAAGGGCGTGTTAAAGGATCCATGAAGGTGCAGAAACAGGTCGAGGCACACAGGAGACAGTCAAACTTTAGAAGCCTGAAGGAGAGTCGTATCTGGAAGTTCAAGGGTAAACAGGCGGGAGGAGCTGCTATTAGAACACACCTGAAAATATCTGCAGGAAGGCTTCTTCCCCTACCTCACTGCCCTCTCACGGTTCCCTTGCTAGGGGATACAGAGACACTTTGTTTCTCATTTGTTAGAACTTGTGCACTTTGACAAAGAATGCCTTCTACAGCTCCGATAATTATGCAGATTTCAAGGCTGCTCTGGTCTACATAGCACGTTCTAGGCCAGTGATCACAACTGCATAGCTAGGACCCCCACTCCAGAACCTAAAGCAACAACAACAAAACAGAAACACCAAAAACTGACTGACATAGAACCGTCACTGTGTTGCTGAGTGGTGAGCTCCTCATAAAAGAAGAAACTTTTCAGTGATTATTGTTATCAAGAGGATGAGATTCACAGCCAAGGTTGTTCTAATTCATATAGTCCAGTAGCCTATTTCCCATTCAGGCTTCAAGTTTTCATACCTACAAAAAAAACCAAATAATTGATCATGCATTTAATTCTTACAGCAAACAGTCCTTTAGCACAGGCTTTCTCCCCTCTTGTAGTGAGAAAGTTTATTCCTAAAGGGGACTGAAAAACTTCTCCATCCATTAGCCCCTATTTACAGTTACTCAGCTTCCCCTTTTCAACCTTGTGATACTGTTAGAACGGCACTCATTCAATGTATCATGTTTGGATTTTGATTTTGACCTTTTTCTGAGCTGGCAATAACATTTTGTTGTAATGCTGGGCAGTAGCAGTGAGTCACAGTTCTTTCAGCCATTCAGTCATGAAGGAAATAACTGTACTCTTCAGAGCACAGTGCTGCTAAATGATGAGGTTCTCTGTGGTGTGTGTATTGACCACGTTTTTAATTCAAGTGTGGTGTGTGTTTATGTTTTCAGGAATGAGGGGTAGTTCATTTAGCCTGAGGTAAATATAGGATGTGTTCCTCAGTCACTTTCCCTCTATTTTTTGATATAGAATCTCTCATTGAACAAGTAGCTCATGAAATTGGCTAAGTTAGCTAACGTGCCAGCAAGCTCCAGGGAACCTCCTGTCTCTTCCTCTTCATGCTAAGATAACAGCTTTTTACATGAATATTGGGGATCTGAACTCAGGTCCCCATGCTTGTATGGGAAGCATTTACCAACTGAACCATTTCCCCAACCCAAATACATTTTTTTTTTTTTATTATTTATGTTCAGTTGATAGCAAGTTTATTAGCATTTACCCATTCTGAGTTGAGGAACAGCTCTTAATTACAGAAGTAATGAAACTGAAATTACTAAAGAATTGATGATGATGATGATGATAATAATAATAATAATATAAGAAGAAATTTAACAGATAAGAATTGACAATGATCTCATTTCCAAAACATTTCTTGGTCCTATGCCTTCCAGATAGTATGCTGGCTGTTGCAGCATATTAAAAAAAAAAAAAATGAATGCTTATTATACAGATGAATGCTGGATCCACCTCTCAGAAACCTTAAAGGTGCCAAGCATGAGAGAGATAGAAAATACCTGTAACCTCAGCACGTGGGAGACTGAAACAGGAAGGGTAGAAGTTCCAGATTAGTTTAATCTACATAGGGTCCAGCCTGGGTCACATAGCAAGATTCTCGATGCATGGAAAGGATTTTATTATAAAAAAAAATAGTGGAGAGGGGATAGGAAAGGCTGTCTCAGATAGAGATCTGAGACTGTAGCCAATGTTGCTTTGGTTGGTGAGGGAATGTTGGCAGGCTGTTGTATAAGAATGAGTCTGTTTGTTGAGTCTTCTGACCGCTCATGAGCTTTTTTTTCCCTCCCTTACCAGGTCTTCAATGAAATTTATCCCGTATGGACATACTCTTACCTGGTGCTGCTATTTCCTGTGTTCCTCGCCACAGACTACCTCCGTTACAAGCCTGTCATTCTGCTTCAGGGACTCAGCCTTATTGTTACATGGTTCATGCTGCTCTATGCCCAAGGACTGCTAGCCATTCAGTTCTTGGAATTCTTCTATGGCATTAGCACGGCCACTGAAATCGCCTATTACTCCTATATCTACACCGTGGTCGACCTGGGCATGTACCAGAAAGTCACAAGTTACTGTAGAAGTGCCACCTTGGTGGGCTTCACCGTGGGCTCCGTCCTGGGGCAAATCCTTGTCTCTGTGGTAGACTGGTCACTGTTCAGCTTGAACGTCATCTCCCTCACCTGTGTTTCTGTTGCTTTTGCTGTGGCCTGGTTTCTGCCTATGCCACAGAAGAGCCTCTTCTTTCACCACGTTCCTTCCTCCTGTCAGGGAGTGAATGGCATCAAGGTACAAAATGGCGGCATCGTTTCTGATACCCCAGCATCTAACCACCTTCCCGGATGGGAGGACATTGAGTCAAAAATCCCTCTAAATTTAGATGAGCCTCCTGTGGAGGAACCGGTGAGTTCAGCCTTAAATTTGCAATTGCTGTTCTGGGCATCGGCTAATGGCAATGAAACAGAGAGGGAAGCCCATTCTATTGGTGCATTCATTCTTAAGATGCAATTGATTTATGTGAGAAAGACAATCAATTTATTCTCCCCTAGAGTGCCTGATCCTCTTAAGTCAAACTGACATAGCATTATGCATCATGTCAGATATGTTTTGGGGTTGTGTCTCCATTTTTATATCCCTACTGGTTGGTATAATACATATATGGTTATATGGAGAGAGAGCACTCAGAGCTTAATGAGTATTGAAATGATTCAGTTGGCGATTTGTGTCTACTTGTAGCTCGTGGATCGAAGCTCAGTATTTAACAATACAAAATTATTTTCCTTTCCTGCTAAAAATGATAGGTGTGATTTATTTTTTTCAAATGATGCTGTGTTGTTTGTGCTTTTTGTGTTCCTATTAAGTTACTGAGTGTGAGGGACATGGACAAGATTCATTCCAGCTACATTGAAGCAGTTTGGATTTTCCTGGAATGTGTTTGGCAATAAGCCTATTAACATTCCTGTCTTGCTTAGGGGATCTAAAACTGAATTATGGGTTTTGTAGAGTGAATGAGAATGCAGAACTACTGTGAATAGCTTGACTCTATAAAGTTCATGTAGTAGTTTCTCCCCAGCCTATAAAGCCCTCTCTCAGGGGAAAGCCTGTACCAGGGAGGCCGAGCCCCCCTCTACACCCTGGGACACACCTGTCCTAGAACCCATGTCTGACTGCTCAAGGCACTGTCTTTAGTCAATATGACCAGGGATTAGGTATTGAAGAAATACTGATTCGGGCATAATTTGTTCAGTGGCAGTGGAGAGTCCGCTGGGGGGAGGGGAAAGGGCTAGTCGTTTGCTGCGTTTCATGCAGTAGGAACACATGGGTGCTCTTCTGGTTGGTTTCCGGAGTGTTATAGTGGCTGTAGCCAACTGAATATATCTAATACTTATGTGAGAATATACTTTAAATATTAACATTAGTTGTAGTCATAAACTTACAAGACAGTGAGCTCTTACGGTTTTGGACTCTAACAAATATTTTGGAAAGGCCATTTTTTTTTTAAAAGCCACTGCATATAGATGTGTGTATAATTTTTTTTTTATAATAGGAATGAAAACTTTACAGGACAATATTCTTTTGTAATCTATTTCATTTTCTTTTATAATTAAGTTACTGCCTATTAAATATAGTTTATTGCCCACTGGCAAGTTGAGTTACAGTTTCAGTAACTTGCCTATGCCAGTGCGAACTATTTATCAGTGACCCAAATGTCAGTATTTTGACCTGGGTGTGGCGGCACACACGTGTAATCACAGCTCTCCAAGGCTGAGGGAGAAATTAGCTTCACTTAGTTTCCTGATGTCCCAGGCTCCGCAGTGATTCTGTGGGCGGCTGGCCAGTGCTTTGGCAGCCTCACTGACTGGCCTTAAAACATGGCTGTTTTGCTGCAGAAAGCGTGAAGGGAAGCCAGGATACAGACATTGGGGGTTGCAGAGCCATTTAAGCTGGCAAAGCTTATAATCAAATTAAATCACAGTCCTGGTGTTTATTAAAGAGTAAGCAGGTACTCGGACGGTTTGTCCTGACATCAGAAAGAGGAAGTAGGAAGAATTAGAGTGATAATCTGCTTGCCTTAGAGTTAGCTTCAAGTATTGAGTTCTTTTTAGAGATTGCCTGTTGCCTTAGAGCAAAGGTGGCTGACCCTGAGAGGGGAGCAGCCTCCAAAGCCAGTGATTTTTTTTCCCCCCAGGGGGGCTAGAGTTAGGCTCAGTGGGAAACCATTGGCCCAGCATGTTTGAAGCTCTAGCTTTAAGCCCCTGCACTGGAAAAAGGAAAACTTCATGTGGCCGCAGTCTGCCATCCCACTGCTGTAGAGACTGAGGCTGGAGCCTCAAAGGCTAGCACAGTGTCTCAAAGGAAACAAAACAATTCAAATTAAACCCCTCTCTGGGTATAGAGACTTAACGGTTTTCTCAGCCTGAAAGTACTGTGTAGACGACAGTCTTACTTTTAGTGCGCACCTATGTGCCTGTGAAGGTTTCTCCTTTAGCATTTAATAGTGCCACTTCTAGCAGCAGAGTGTAATGTTTCAATTCCTTATCAGTGCGTCTATATTTTGAGTATAAATGGGGCAGTGTAACGCTCTCAGATAAGCATACAGAGTGGGCATTTCACACACAGCAATTGTTACTACTGTACTTTTGCTGTAGGTGTTATCTGTGAGTTTGTAAATAATCTTTTCTCTACCCAAAAGGATATAACCATGATTGCTAATAAATAGAGATACATGTGTGAGAGAGAGACTTTACAGTGGAAACTTTGGACAGTTAATAATTTGCCTAAGGTCATGTAAACGGAAGCAGTGAGGTGAGGCCTGAAAGTAGCTTCAGAGCTCCCATCCTTGATAACACATTCTGGTGTTCCTTTCAAATATACACGTTTTACTTGAGTGAAACAAGCAGCTGATTTTTACAAAAGGAAAAACAGCCTCTGAGGTTGAAAACCGAGCTTGCAGGGTGGTCTGCACAGTCGCCACTGTGGTGTTTGAGCTCTGTTCCCATTTGCTGTGCAGGAGGAGCCCAAGGCAGACCCTCTTCGTGTGCTGAAGGTCCTGTGGAATGACTTCTTGATCTGTTACTCCTCCCGCCCTCTGCTCTGCTGGTCCACCTGGTGGGCCCTCTCCACCTGCGGCTATTTCCAGGTGGTGAACTACACACAGGGACTGTGGGAGAAGGTGATGCCTTTTGAACATGCAAATATCTACAATGGCGGTGTGGAGGCTGTTTCAACCTTGCTGGGTGAGCAATGGAGAAGGGCGGGCAGAGCCCCCATGTGGCTAAGTCAATCATGATCAGGCTTACTTCCTCCCAGAGGAATAATTTGTTTTGAGTTCTGATTTTCTAATTCAGGAGAAAACTTGGCTGGAATCCAGTGGTAGAGGACTATGACTGACAAACACATTCTCGGAAATGCAATGTGCTGATTGTCGAGATGGTTTTCTTCTCTTATCCAGGTTCCACTTACATGTGTTTGAGACTTTGAGTGGCAGTGTACTGTAGTTTATGACAGTAGCTAACGTCTCAAGTGTTAATAAGTACTAGACACTGTTCTGTAGGCAATATGTGTATTAATTGTATTCCAAAATTCCTGAGATGGCAATTGTCATTTGACATTGGACATATTAATAATTGGCCTAAAATCATACAAATGGTAGCTAGTGAAGTAAAGATTGGAACTTGGGCATCGTAGCTTCAGAGCCTGTGTCCATGATAATAGGTTCTGTTGTCCCTTTCCAATTGGCTGTCCTGCTTCATAAGGCTGGAAGAGTCTATATAGCAGCTGTAAGTACTTGCTAATTATGGCTGGCACCCAGAAAGCACTCATATTATAGCTTTCTCCACCGTCACCATTTTACTGAAGGGAAGAAAAGCCATTTTCCATATACTACATTGCTTCTTGGTCTGAAGAAGAGATGACTCACCCAGCTGTGTTGCCAAGCCAGGTGCAGTGATTTTCTGTGACTATAGCCTGTGCATCAGGCCAAGCAGTTATTTCCTCCATAGTTTCCCTGCGTCTGTGTCCTCCTCTTCAACCTAACTGCTACATTATCTTAATCCAGTCTCATCTCAGTGGCTCCATGCTGCTCCACCAAGTTACAAGTTCTCTGCTTGAGTTGCAAGAAACTCCCATGTTCTTGAGCTACCTAATAATAAGTTTAAAGCTTTTAAGATATAATAATCTAAGCTGAATTTTTAATGGGTTAAGCTGGAGTTGATATGGTCAATAACGAGATTACTTTTTTATGTTTTGCAGGCGCTAGTGCTGTGTTTGCAGTTGGTTATATAAAAATATCTTGGTCAACTTGGGGAGAAATGACGTTATTCCTGTGTTCTCTCCTGATTGCTGCTGCAGTATATATCATGGACATTGGAACCCTTGAACATGTTAATAATTGGCCTAAAATCATGGGGAACATTTGGGTGTGCTATTCATCCTATGTTATCTTCAGAATCATCTATATGGTACTCATCACCATAGCAACGTATGTATTTTAATTCAGAGAAGTATTAGGAAAAGTTACAGCAAGAGAAACTTGGATTTCTTTCTTTTGTTTTTCCTTTCTTCCTTTTGTGTTTGTTTTGTTTTGATTTGATTTTCAAGACAGGGTTTTTCTGTGTAGCCTTGGCTGTCCTGGACTCCACCTTCAAACTCACAGTGATCCACCTGCCTCTGCCTCTGCCTCTCTGAGTGTTGGGATTAAAGGCATGCACCACCACATCAGGCTAAACTTGGATTTCTTTACAAACCAAAAAATTAAAATTTCTATTTAAAGGAGGCAAATGGGAGAAAGCATTGTATGTAGTTATTGTACATTTTTTTCTTAACTCAAAGTATTTAGGCAAGATTTATTTGTTCTCTTGTACTTGTTATCCTATTTTTATGTTTGCATAAATTTATATCATCTAATAACGAAACATGTTTCACATTTTTAGAAAGGGAATTAGCAATGGAAAGAAGGGATTGTATTCATGTTTAAAGTAAAAATGTGTTACAATTCAGGAGGAGGTAATTGTACTCTAGTCACTGTTTTTCTTGTTAAAGTTTTCAGATTGCTGCCAACCTCAGCATGGAACGTTACGCCCTTGTGTTTGGTGTAAACACCTTCATAGCCCTGGCATTGCAGACTGTGCTCACTCTAATTGTGGTAGACGCCAGGGGCCTTGGCTTAGATATTACCACTCAGGTAAGCTGTCTTCATTGACACTGACAATTGTTTACATGATCTGGGTGACAGAAGTGGAACATGGTTTATGAAAACAAATTCAGACATTCTGAACAAATCCAAAGTAAGTGTTCCCTCCTTCCTTTAGCCACCTCCCTGTTCTTAGTGCTTTTCTGTGGAGGACGGTAAGATCTTTGTCCTTTTTGATGAACTCCTAGAGCATCGGTTTTCAACCTCTCAGATGTCTGGTTCCCAAGAACTAGAGTTAAAGATGGTTATGAGCCAACATGTGGTTGCTGGGGATTGAACCCAGGTCCGCTGGAAGAACAGCCAGTGCTCTTACCTGCTGAGCCATCTCTCCAGCCCCTCATTCTTATCTGTACACCTGAAGTACTGTCTGAGATGTCCTGCTTCATTGTATCTCAGGGCTCTTTAAGTTCCCTTCCTCCTTTGTATAAAGCAACATTCACCCAAATACCAAGTTAATGACTTACTGTTGGTAAGTATTATGATTTTCAATGTATGACCTGTCGAGAAAATGTCTATGCAAATGCACAAAGAATAGCTATGTTCATCCATTCTGAATCGTTGTAAATGGCATTATGTGTTATGATTTTGTAATGCAGATAGTTTGTGGGTGTACTCCAGGAAAGGAAGCAGCTGAATCAGGAAGTGCCTCTCTCCACATCCAGACAAAATGATTCCTTTTCCTTTATCCTGAGTTTCCAGTATTAATGCAACACTTCACACTTAACACATAAATTTTCCTAGATACAAAGACTTAACATGTTAGCATTAATGAATTTTGTTTTTATTAAGCAATCTACAAGCATAATAAAACTAATAAATATTTGTGTTGACTGTCTCTCTCCTGATTCTTTTTTGACTGGAGAGTTGACAGTAGTGGGTGTCCAGAAAATGTGCCTGGGGTGGAGTGTTAAATGGTTTGTCTGAGATCGCAGAGTCAGTAATACTGCTAGAGAAGATTTAAGTCCGCATTCTCACCTAAAGGCTACTCTTAGGTAGAGAACAGAGATTCATCCTGCCAATTTTGTGAGAAAGATTACCACACCATTAATTACAGTTGAAGGAAATATGGCTGACCCTTGGGGTGGAAAATTGAATAGCATATTATCAGAAAAATGGCTTATTTAAGCGTAGGAGAATAACAGTCTGCAAACTATGCTGAAACTTGCTGCCACAAGTGAGTAACGCCTTTCCTGTCAAAATACAGTCAAGTTTTAAAGACTGGCTCAGTTTAGGGCCACATTATTTTGCCTAAATCTGTTTGTGAGTATTTAATACGTTATTTTAAGAAGAAAAAACTAATGAAGTTGTTTATATAAACAAGCGTGCACATACAGACAAACATGTACACACACGTTTATTTTATTTGAAAGAGCCTTCAACAGAGAATTCTGTGGTGGAATACTCTTGGCCTTACACTACCCTCTTTGGCACAAAAGCTCTTGATTTCTTAGGCACCCATCGATGTGAGGACACAGACCATGACTCACTTAGGACATTAACAGCACTAACAACAGAAATAGGAAGGGAGAGAGGGAGGATGGGATTGGGGGAAAAAGAAGGAGGGGGCTACAGCTGGGATACAAATCAATTAAATTGTAATAAATGATAATAATAATAATAAAGGAAAGAAATAGTGTCCGCAGCATTAGCACTGTGCTAGTAAACTTTTATGTACATGACCCTGTTCACGTCTTCCAATAAGCCCTGCAAAACAGGAATTACTTAAAATTTGACCGTAAATTAGACCAAGGCTCTGTGATTCAATAGCTAAGGTTTTGGGGTTTGTTAGGCTTTTTTAAAATAGCACATGCACTTGTGCATGTAGGTGTGTCTGTGTGAGTATATGCACATGTGTGTGTGTTGTCAGAAGCCAAAAAAGGGAGTTGTTGGATGCTGGGAGCTAGAGTTACAGGCCTTTGTAACACGTGTGAGCCAACTGACGTGGGGACTGGAGTCAAGCTTGACTGCTCACGCTTGAGCAGCAGGTGCTGTTATTCGCTGAGCCGTCTCTTCAGCCCTAGATCAGATATCTTCATGCAGGTTGCAGCTAGAAAGAGACGAAGTCAGGATTCACCCTCAGGCAGCCAGGATTATTCCACTAGACTGCTTCTTTGTCTTCAGTGTCTGGCACATGTGTAAGCGTGCAACATTTATGAAGTTTGATTGGGAAGCTCTGGACATACCTCGAACAGTGTAGCGTATGTTTATATATGTGTAACAAAAGCGCTCATCTCCAGTTGACAGTTTTATGGATGACTGCTCTTCTCTCTTACAGTTCCTGATTTACGCCAGTTACTTTGCAGCCATCTCTCTGGTTTTCCTGATTAGTGGTACAATCAGTATTATAAAGAAATACAGAAAGCGGGAAGAGCCCAACTCCAGCTCTCAAGCGATCACTTCGTAATACACTGCTGAAACATGGCTGCTTCCAAGCAAGGACTCCGCACAGCAGCTGCCTGGGTGCATTTAAACTCTCTACAGTTCAGATAAAAATTGATGGATGTGTATTTCATGGCTTCGAAGCAGCCACTCAACTTACACCTTGCATTCCTGGAGTTAGTAGAATACTGCTGAGAAAAGCCACAACTGAAGCTTTTTCCATGGATTATTTATGAGCGCTAATTTAAGAATGACTTTTCCTAATTAAAAAAAAAAAATTATTTTGGAAACAGTAATCAAGTAATCAAGCAGCATGTCTGCTGTTTCCTTGATTAACACGTGAGTGGAACGTTTTATAATCACGCTCAGCCAGGCCTTTGGCCTGGTGGGACCAGGGCTTCCGAGGCCACGGGATGTTACAAGTCATGATGGGAGTGTGATCTGTCAGCACTGGCCCTGTCCAGCTTCGCTCTAATTTCAGTGTTAACTTGTGTGTGCTTGTGTGTCTGCAGGTGGAAAGTGTTCCTCACTGGCAACATCTGCTCGGGTTTAATGTTCCATCCTCTAAGGAGTGTCATTTCTAATTTTATTTTTAAAATTCATTGTATGAATGTTCTTCCCATTTTGACCACTGTATGTTTTTGGAAACTTTCTTTAAAAGTACGTTTTTTTGCACTATTCATATGCTTCCCAGAGAAGCTCATTTCATTTGAAAAAGGCAAATTTTAAAGCCAGCTGGTAAATGAGGAGAGCTATTTAGGAAACTTAAGGTAGGTTTGCTTGTCTTTAATGCCTCAGTATGAAGGACTCTTAATTCCAACTGGAAAGGTCATTTACAGGTTAGAGACACAAGTGGCCCATTTTATATTTGTGTACCTTTTTATTTCCAAAATAAAATTAACTCTTTTCCTTTGAAACAACTTCATTTCCATATGCCTTTCATTTTATTTTGGCTTTCTTTTCCGAGATAAAGGTGTCAGTGGGAATTGGATTATTCCACAGCCTTTTTCATAAACTGAGCCTCTTTTTAGTTCTTTTATTGAGATTGGATAGACTTGATGCCTGCATTTTTGGACCTTAAACCTGCCTTTATTCCTGAGGTTAGATCATCTTGAACTTTTTAACTTAAATTAAAAAGTTATTCCATTTCCTCATTACTTGAAAGGATGGTGTTCTATATGGTAATATTTGTGAGACATGAAAACTATTTCAGAGACAACTTTGTTGTCTTGTGCAAAGAATCTTAGGTAGGTGCTTTTAACTAGAGTGCTGACTTTTTAAGAACGGCATAGCTAAACAGTGTTATTAATACCAAGATTGCAAAACTGAGGTCAGGATAATACTGGACAGGAGCGAGCTTGACGAGTGTGTGAAGAGCTTCGCTCAAGCACTGGGAAGAAAACTGACACAGGAAGTGAGGCTAAGAATAGGTCATTTCCATGCACCTTCCTTTAAGGCGAGGAAAGGAACACTAAGGAGAGGGAGAACTAAGGTCGCAGTAGCAGTCTCTAGTTTCACCTTTGCGTCTCCCTGCCCCCACCTTTTCTTTCTGTTCTGTAGGAAGTAGGCTGCCCAGAAACAAGAAGAAAAGTTGTGTTTGGGAAATTTTATTGTTTGGTTTTTTTGTTTTGTTTTGTTTTTCTTAAATAACATGTATGGTGGTACAATCAAATTGTTCACATTACCAAAGCAATATTTCCTTGGAATTTAGTTTACTGTTTGTAGCATCTAATCTGATCCTTCTTACCTGTCTGAATCAACAGTATGTTCACATCTTACTATGTGGCCATATTTGCAGAATGCTAAACCCAATGTACTGGTTGTACTGTATGCACTTTTATGAAGAAGCGAAAAAATTTGTTGAACTTTTTATTCAATTCTGTATAGATTATAAAACTATTTTTATTAAATAAATATTTTACAGTATATTTTCCCTTTTTCCTCAATTATTTTGCGCTCATCTTCAAAAGGAGCTTTTTGTCTATAAGTCTTCTAACAGCTTTCCCTAGACAACGTTCATTTAAAGCATACCATCCCACCTTCCTGGTAACTCTCAGTCAGCCCGTTAACTCTTGCACTACTGTGTGATCTCGTCCTTCCCTTTGCTTCTGTTGCAGAACTCCTTGCTGGCACCGTCGTCTGCAATGTTGGTTTTCCTACATCTCTCATGGTCTCTCTCTCTTTTTTTATTTAATTTTTTATGTGCATTAGTGTGAAGGTTTCAGATCCCTTGGAATTGATGGTTACAGACAGTTGTAAGCTGCCGTGTGGGTGCTGGGAATTGCACCCGGGTCCTTTGGAAGAGCCGACAGTGCTCTTAACCACTGAGCCATCTCTCCAGTCCTCATGTCTCTTTGTAAAGCAATCTTCTCTTAAGAAACAGTGTTCAGTCCCGTTGCTAGCAACTAAAAATGTTAAATTAAGGAAATTAAAGCCAGGACTGGAAGCCTTGTTTTGAAACTCCATAGTCTCTTTGTTGATATCCAGAGAGGCACCTTCACTGCACTAATTGAAAAATCATTTTTCATTGTATCCTAGAAACCAAATCAGTCTCTGCACCAAGTTAGTCTCATCATACAGCATCCAAATAGATACAGCCTACTTAGCAAGGTCTTTCATTATCACTAAAGGATAGGAAATCTTTCATGCAAATAGTTTAGGTATGGTTTTCTGCCTCTGGAGATTTTTCCAGTACATCTGAGCTGGCTTTCATAAGCCTTTGAGCAAGGACTGTGTCTTACTTTTGTCATTTATTGCAAAGGAAATATCTTGGTAGTGCATGAATATTGAGTCATACAAATGGAATTTGATAGACTCAGCCACCGGACAGTGTAAAAATTAGCTAGATGCCCAATACTTTTTTTTTTTTTTAAGATTTATTTATTTTACGTATGTGAGTGCTCTATCTGCATGTACACCTGCATGCCAGAAGAGGGCATCACATTCAAGTATAGATGGTTGTGAGCCACCATGTGGTTGCTGGACATTGAACCCTCAGGACTTCTGAAAGAGCAGATAATACTCCTAACCACTGAGCCATCTCTCCAGCCCTGCCCAATAACTTTTTAAAGAAGGACTTTCATTAAATGTTAAATTTTATGATGAAATGTAAAGATTTAAGATTAAAATGATAATGTTGCATATACTGGACACTTCAAGGGATTATGCTTTCGTGGTAAAACTAGATATCTATTTCTTATGACATCCTCATAGATAATGTCTTCCGTTTCTTTATCATGTTACCCTCAGAAGGGTGAACATTTTTTATTCTAATGAAGATGATTTCATGGTTGGGGTCAACACAACATGAGGAACTGTATTAGAGGGTCACAGAGTTAGGAAGGCTGAGAACCGCTGCCTTAAAGTATCTCATGATGCTGATTGTTCATTTTCCTCCAGTGATGCCGTCAAGTGGATTCTAAGTATTTGGTTTGTCACTCTGCTGAGCTTCTAGCTTCCTGTTTGCAAACATGATGATACCTCCCAGGATTGCTAGGAAGAAATGGGCAAACACATTTGAGAATAGCTCTGCCACAGGCACTGAGTATGGGATTGAGAAATGAGTTCCATCGCCCGTTTTTTCCGTTCACAATTAATTTGTAGCTATCAGTTTCAAAACTACTCTCAAACTGACTGTTCCAATGAAAATAAAAATCATCTGCAGTGATTCATGCTCTACCTTCTACTTATTGTTAATTCATATTTTTTTATTACTTCCTGGAATACAAAGGAAAAAAAAAAGCCATGGTTCTTACATCAGACTCTTGCCTGTCTTTCTTGCCAAAAATCCACACCATACCCCTTGCTAGCCCTCCCAACCCCCATCTTCTAGCAGAGAATTAATAAGGAAGCACAGTGGACCCCTCCTTCTTGAGGCTGAAAAGTAAGTGTGGTCCTGCCAACCATCTGCCTTGTGTCTCCTGGATGGTATGCTAGGCCACGGTGATGATCTTGCTTCCTGCCTTGGAACCTGTAAGAGTCAGACACCCCTGTGTTCTCTGGATCTACATCTCCACTCAATCATTAGGGTCATTTTTGAGCATCTACTAAGATTGCTGGTTGAATTGATCCCATATAGGTGAGGAGGGCCCTTCTTGATTCACAACAGTACAAAGAGGGAAAGAGGAGTGATTTTAGGTCGGTAAATTAATATTCTACAATGTGTGCTCATATTTAAAAGTGGCTTAGGACGTCTAAATATTTCTCCCCAAATTACACATCCTGAAGTGGAGAAGCTAAGCCAGTTCTGATTGCTTCCCTAATCCTGTAAATTGATAGTCACTTCCCTTCAGTCCCATTATGAAATATGCAATGGGGACAAGGGTGGAGGAAGATAGTTAGACATTGTTAAGAAAGCATCTCCACAGGGGAAGAAAGCCTGGCTGGGGAAGAGCAAATGTCAGGTGACATTCTGAGATGATAACACATCTGGAAGAAGAAATGTGTAGCTGGCAGAGAAGTGAGCAGCACACAGGGATCCAAATCATGTGGGTGAAGTGAGACCCCCACAAACTCCCAAAATGAATCTCATTGCCAAGTCCCTGCAGTCCAGGCCAGCAGCTGGAGACCAGGACATATCATCTGGCATGCTGTGGACTCAGGTCTATCCTGTGCCTACTCTTAGTGGCTCATGGCCTCTCTCCTGCTGTAGGCCTTTTGTCCCTCTCTCTCCTCCACCATAGGGATTCTAACTACCAAAGCAAGAGCCCTCCAGCCAGACAGCTCAGATGGGCTTTAGTGAGTCTGTTAATAAAAGTCCAGAGATGAGTCAAATTGAGTTTTCCAAAACCTCTTCCAAAACCCATGTCAAATCTTCGAGTGAAGGAAACCTTTGATGAGTGTTGGGTATGCACCTCTAATATTTTAAACCTTCGCAGTATGGACCCGTGCATGGCACCCTTTGAAGTTATTTCTTACCAAATTGTCTTCCTTTAAAATAAGTCATTTGGAGGTGTGGACTCTGACACAGACATTTCCAAATCACTAAAAATCATAAGAGGAATCACGACTTAAAAAAAAAAATTCCTGTATCTAAAGTTCCCAAGTTTGCTCTTAAGTGTCCTGCTCCTGGCTTCTGGAGTCTGCTTCTGAGTTCTTGCTCTACATTTCTACTGTTTTCTAAATCTCGCTGGTTCTTTCTTTCCTTCCCCACACCTTAACATTAGAGAATCCTCCCTTCTCACTAAACTTCCCCCTACTACCACACCTGAGAGATTAATCCTCATCCCCTCCAGCAACTTGACTGTGTATACACTGATCTCTCCTAAATTTTGCATATGTAGTCTTTACCTCTCAGAATTCCAGAATACCCAACTGCCTAGTTCCACCTTTATTTAATTGCCTAAATAACCAGAATATTGCCAAAAAAGCGCAAACTTCTGATTTCCAGTCACTGATTCTGTTTCTGGCTTTCAGTGGGGGCCATTTCATCCCCTCATTTACAAAAGCCAAAAGCTGTAAGTCATCCCTCCCTCTTCTTACATCATCCCTCCCCCAGCCCTGGTAAGCCATCCTATCACAATTTCTCTTGTTTTCGTTCCATGTCATCTTAATGCATCAGCTTGGGCGTTGTCACGTTATTTATGCTTGTGGCCTGGGAGTTGTTTAGCCTTTAACTAGGAAATGGGGTAGAGTCTTGAACTGATTGGTTCTGCCCTTCATTTCTTCTGCTCTCTCAGAAGCCTTCTCTCTCCAAAACATACTGGAATAGCTGCTCTGTTATGCATCGATCATAGTCTGGGGAGGGGCCCATGAGGCCCCGCCCTTTTCTGCAGAGTTATTGGTAATGGCTGCTGGGGGAGGGGCAGGCATTTTCTTCAGTGGTGCAACCACTGGTGAGCTGCCTATGCCCTAGCAAATAACCCCACACTCCTGCTCATGCAAGCAACCCTAATCAAACTAAGTGGGACACACACACACACACACAGGACATGAAAATAAGGAGGCAGGACTGAGAGAGGGCCAACAGATGATAGTGAGCTGGGTATGGCTACAACACATATCCACACATTGTATGCCTGTCCAGAAATGTCAAAAATCATTCCCATGCCGAGACATCATCTTTCACTGTTTGGAAGCGAGCTTTGAGTTTCTCAAGAAAACAATTTTAATGTAGATTTAACTGTCGACATTAAGAAGTAGAGGTAGATGCTCACAATATGAGACAAAAGCCATGTGCCATTTCTTGAGAGTCACCCTGCATTAATCTTTTAAACAATTCCATTTTTAAAGAACTTACAGACTTCATATGTACATAAAACCGCCTGCTAATGTGACCATAAACCCATTTATTAATATTATTATGGATTATTTATCTCTACAGTTTACAATTATGATGAAGGCAAGATTTGTACTAGCTTCTTTTAAATTTTGCCACATAAAGTATTCCTTAACATTCTTGAGTCTGATTCCAGAGCAGATAGATGGAAACCAGTTGTTATTTACATTTTTTCTTTTTTTTTAAAATTTTTTATTTAACTTTTATTAATTACACTTTATTCATTTTGTATCCCCCCATAAGCCCCTCCCTCCTCCCCTCCCGGTCCCACCTTCCCCCCCTTTCTGCATGCATGCCCCTCCCCAAGTCCACTGATAGGGGAGGTCCTCATCTCCTTCTTTCTGGTCTTAGTCTATCAGTTCTCATCAGAAGTGGCTGCATTGTCAGGGTTCTAGGTTATCTCCACAGATAGTCCTTGGTCGGAGTACATTTTAATGCAGAAGTGATGAGAGTTGGGAGATGGGTGAATTCGGGTGCCTTTCACCTCTTAAGTGGATACTATTTACACTGTTGAGGTATTTAGGGCTTTGAAAATATTAATTTATTAAAATCCACACCACATATTAAGTGTTTGCCTTTATAACAAAATACACTAAACCAAAGCGTATTTACAAAGCTAGCAGTTTTAAAGCCCTCTTTCCCCTAGTAGAA